AGGGTTCCTTACTAATGCATCCTTACTGATGACCCTTAGTGCGGAACCCTGGTGGAGGATTCCTTACCAAGGGTTCTTGCAACAGGATTCGCTACTAAGGGTTCCCTGCCCCGTTTTCTTTGATATCTCTCTTGTTGTTGGTTCTCCGGTGTCTCCCGTTCCACATCCTTCCCCTTCCTCCCCTCCTCCTTCTTCCCCGCTGCGTCATTTTCCCTCCTTCCTCCCCCTCGTCTCTCCTTCACGCCTTCCTCTCTCCGCCTTCCTCATGCGGTTTCGGCTTGCCAGTGCCCCAAGACGGCCCAAGAGGTCCCCAACACTCCACCAAGACAGCCGAAGATGGCCCCGCGACGGCCCGAATACGACGCAAGAGAGCGCCAAGACGGCCCACGAGGCCGCCAAGACGGCGCAAGAGGCCCTCAAGACGGCCCCAAGACAGAGGCAAGAGCGGGGATCCAAACCGACATTCGAGCTCAGATGCCAAGAGCCCCGGGAAGGCCTCCGAGGCGCCCCCGAAAAGTCCCAAGAGGCGACCAGGAGACCCCTAACAAAAACCGGAGAGCCCCCACCCCCCAGAAACCCATAAGAACCCGCGAAGACCGTCCCCCAAAAGCATCCAAAGAGACTCCCAACATGGTTCTGACATGCTCTTAGGGGCTCTCGGGCATCCCCCCTTAGGCTTCCCCGGGTCTAAAACCTAAGCGCGTACGAAGCGCGCACGCATGGTTCTAATGTGTATGTGTGTATTCATGCATATATATATACACATATCTATATATACATATCACACCACATCGATTGCATGTCATAGCTTACCCCACACAGCTCACACCACATCGATCACGCCCCATAGATCACACGACGTAGCTTTGGCATCTCCCGTTTCAACAGCTCACTGTTTGGTGTCCACGTTGGTAGCCATGCTGTATACATGAATATATGTATATATATATACATATATATATATATATATATATATATATATATATATGGTACCCCCCCTTGGGGACCTACCTCACTATCGTCGCATTCCTTCTTTGCTTCTCCTTTGTCGTCCATGCATGCGAAGACGTAGACACAAAAGGAAGTTGATGAGGAGGAGGTGGAGGAGGAGGAGGAGGAGGAGGATGGGGAGAAGAAGCGTGAGAGGACTCGGCTCTCGCCTAAGAGGTCCCAAAAAAACGCGAAGAGGAAGAGGCTCCCGCCTGAGAGGTCCCCCAAAAACGTGAAGAGGAAGAGGCTACCGCCTGAGAGGTCCCAAAAAACGAGAAGAGGAAGAGGCTTCCGCCTGAGAGGTCCCAAACAGACGTGAGGAGGAAGAGGCTCCCGCCTGGGAGGTTCCAAAACAACGCGAAGAGGAAGAGGCTCCCGCCTGAGAGGTCCCAAAGAAACGTGAGGAGGAAGAGGCTCCCGCCTGAGAGGTCCCAAAAAAAGAGAGTCAAATGGAGGCTCCCGCCTGAGAGGTCCCAAAACAACTCTCTTGGGAGGAGGCTTCCGCCTGAGAGGTTCCAAAACAAAACCAAACAGGAGGAGGCTCCCGCCTGAGAGGTCCCAAAGAAACGTGAGGAGGAAGAGGCTCCCGCCTGAGAGGTCCCCCAACAAATAGAGTCAAATGGAGGCTCCCGCCTGAGAGGTTCCCAAAAAACTCTCTTGGGAGGAGGCTTCCGCCTGAGAGGTCCCAAAAAACACCAAACAGGAGGAGGCTCCCGCCTGAGAGGTCCCCAGAAAACCAAAAGAAACCCAAACACCATGCTTCTCATCCTTGTATCTGTCACAAAAAACACAAAAAACCCAAAGTTCCAGAGGAGAACGGACGTCGCTGCCCCAGATGCATTGACGAGGGCCGCCATCTCCTCTGATTTTTTTTTGACATTTACAAGGATGGGAGGCATGGTGTTTGGGTTTCTTTGGGTTTGTTTGGGACCTCTCAGGCGGGAGCCTCCTCTTGTTTGCTTTTTTGGGGACCTCTCAGGCGGTAGCCTCCTCCCAAGAGAGTTTTTTGGGGACCTCTCAGGCGGGAGCATCTTCCTCTGCGCGTTTTTTGGGGACCTCTCAGGCGGTAGCCTCTTCCTCCTCACGTTGTTTTGGGACCTCTCAGGCGGGAGCCTCTTCCTCCTCGCGTTTTTTTGGGACCTCTCAGGCGGGAGCCTCTTCATCCTGACGTTTGTTGGGGACCTCTCAGGCGGGAGCCTCTTCCTCCTCACATGTTTTGGGGACCTCTCATGCAAGACCCTCATGGACATGGCGAAGACGAGGATGACGAACATTATGGTGATGATGACGGAGAAGATGAATATGAAGATGGTACTGCTGATGATGCTGGTGTTGCTGATGACTATGGTGATGCTGATTGTGTTGATGATGATGCTGATGCTGATGTTGGTGATGGTGATGATGACGATGGTGATGATGATGAGGATTACGAACATGATGATGATTATGATGATTATGATGATGATGATGTTGACGATGATGATGAGGAGAGTTACGATCATTATGTGAAGGAGGAGGAGCAGCAGCAGGAGGAGGAGGAGGAGGAGGAGAGAGAGGGAGGAGGAGTCAGGAGTCAGGAGTCCCAGGACGAAGTCCAGTCGAGAGGATGGAGGAGGACAAGGAGGAGCAGTTTGTTATTTTTTGTTGGACCTGTCAGGCGAAGTTGCCCCCTCAGAGACTGTGATTACCTCGGGGGCGTTGGTTAAGGAATGTGCTCAGGAGGCATCAGACCTTGGGGGATTCCTCATCCGATGAGGGCGGTGGCGACATCCACGGCCCATCTACAATTGGAGCTCCGCCGGCTTCCAAACCCTGGATTTCTTATCCAATGATTCCTTATCCAATGCCCTCGCCGTAGTAACCTCTCTGGCGGGAGCCTCTTCATCAGAGAGTTGTTTGGAGAATCTCTCAGGCGGGAGCCTCCTCTTCAGTTCTTGTTGGGATCTATCAGGCGGGTGATCGGCCCGCGGCGGGCGTTCTGGGTTAGACAGGGGCAGTGCGACCCATTACGCGGGGGTTCTATGTTGGCACAGTGACGACGACCATTGAGCCAATTCGGTGCGCATAGTGCAACATATTTAGCGCAATGCACAGTCTGCCGCGGCAGACGTGTGGGGTCGGCTTGGGTTAGTGCGCCTGCACTGTGTGGGGATTCTGCCATGGATGCTTTCCGTTGCGTGCTCCTACGGATATCGGTAGGCAGTTCAAAACGAATGCCTATGATGTCTGGGACCCAGACGGGGCACACTGCTTGCGAACCAATCATGTCACCACCACCGCGCCATTGCATATTCTGTGCTACATTGTCATGAGCACGGCATCACGTCATCGCGGGGTTTCTCATGAAAATCTCGTTGGGGTGTTCTTCGGGCTCGATAATAACCATTTGGCTCTGACCGATGCTCCGTTCCGATGTGGGTCATAGTGTTATTCCGATCAAGCCTAAAAGGCATATCCAGCTCATCGAACCTGTTTAAATCATATTGGGATATGTTTAGAATCCTGTTCGGCTGCCATCGGGATCTCAGCAGCGGCGGGTTTACGGTGCGACAACCAGAAACAAACAAAAACGGTAGGTCCCTAAGGGGGGGTGGCATATATATGTATACATACACATATCCGTCTCTCTTCTTCCTTTAGTTGCCTTCATTCGGTTCGTTCCCCGCCGCATCTCCCGCCTCCCTTCCCGTATCTTCCGTGCCTCGCTGTCTGCGTCTTCCGCCTTCGTTTTCGAAGGCCCCCCAGGATGCCCCCCGAGGCCAAGCATTGGCAACACAGACATGTACGGTCTTCGATCCAACGGTGGAAAGGATACCCATACTTCCGATGACCTGATCTTTCCTCCGCCTCCTGCGCTGAGGGGTCTTTGTTTGCATCCGCAGCGCCGGGCGTCTTGCCTTCCCGCGATTTCGTATCTTCTCCTCGCATCTCTCCCTCTTCCTCCTCCTCTTCCTCCTCCTCCTCCTCCCCCTCTGCTTCCTGCTGTCGCCCACTTCGGCATAGCACTCACACGGATCGTGCCCCACGTGGAGCTTCACGTACGGCCCCAACGGGCTCCTTCGCAGGGCTTTCCCTCGTCCATTTCGCCCCCCCCCCCCCCCCCCCCCCGCGGATCGTGCCCCACATGGAGTTCAACTTGCAGCCCAGTTGGCACGTCTGCGTGGCGCCCTCCTGCTCATTCCCGCACACCCCTCGCGCGAATCGTGCGCGTTCGTGTGGAGCCTCCCCGCCCCTTCAGGCCCCCCCGCGCGCATCGTGTCCCAGAGAGAGACAAAGTCCACCGACGGCCCCAGTTAGAGGGTTTGCATGCGGGCCCACGCTCGTGCCTCACGGGGGGTTTTGTCCTACGGTCTCAGTGGGCGCGTTCGCATGACGCCTCCGCGCCCATTTCGTTACCCCCCCACATGGGTCGCGCCCCAGAGAGGGTTCAGCTCGCCTCTGCGTGCTTGCCCTGCAGACCCCTCTGCGAACAGCCCCGCAGCGCGCACTACATGAAGACAGGGCCACGCCCCGCGCTTCACGCAGCTGCATAGGGTTGTGCCCTTCGCCAGGCTGATTTCCGTGCAGGGTCTCTGGACCTCTCGACCAGTTTCCAAGGATCGTTCTTTCATCCCTGATTGTTTCCTGCCCTGATTGTTCCCGAGACAGGACTGTGGGGGCGGAGGGGGCAGGGAATGACTTGCCGTTTTGTCGACTTCAAGGCGGCGGAGGTCTGGGGCGGCCACCTCCGTCCCCTCCGCCCCCTCCCCTGTCTTTGCCCTTCCCGCCTGCCCGCGTGCCTCGCCTCCGGCCTGTGCGTTCGTCGTCGTCGTCCGCTTGCTTCTCGTCTCCTGTCTCCCCCGCGGACGTGGGACCAGAGCATGTCGCACAGCTTTGCATCTTGCTGGGCCTCACTTGGGCCCATGTCTGAGCGCATGGCGGCATTTTTGCCTCGCTGGCAGATGCCCTCCACCCCTCACTCCCCGCCCCCCCTCCCGTGCCAGTGCCACCCGCGCTTCTAGCGCCCCCAGGCGCGCGCGTCCACGTCGGCGAAGCTGCTGGAGCCCGCCAGAGCCCGTGCTGCCCGGCGGGCCTCGCCCCCATTTGCCCCCCCCTCCTCCCCCCCCCCCTCCCCCCCCTCACCTCGCCCGCCCGCCCCGGGGCTGGAGTGCTTGGTGAACGTGTGTGATCAGTCCGCTCTGGCAGCCCCTCTCGTTCCTACCTCCTTTTCCTCCTCGTCTCACACCTCACGCTCGTCTTTCCTCCTGCCCTCCCGTCCTTCGCCCCCATTCGCCAGCTGGCCGCATCAGCATGATTCTGCCAGCTGCGCTGATTTCACCGTCGGAGCTCGTTCTTTGCTTCATGACGTCCCGATGATGTGCCTCCCATGGCCAGGGTCTCTTGCTGTGGATGACGCACGGTGCAGGCACCGCAGCTTTCCGCTCCTGCGCCGCAGTTCCCCCTCCGCGGCCAGTCCCCCCTCCCCCCTCCCGCATCCAGCCTCGCCCGTCCTTCACAGCAGGCAGCGGGCTTCCCCCCCCCGACTTTTTTTCATGTCGGCACGCACGCACAGCACCGGTGTCGCAGCTGCCCGCCCCGGCGCTGCAGTCCTCCTGCCCAGCAACCGACCCCGGTCCTCCCCCCTCAACCGCATCCAGCCCCGTCCCTCCTGCAAACCTGTCGCCCCCACTTGCGCCGCAGCTCCCCTGTCCCGCAATCAGCCTTTCTCCTCCTCCCCCAGCAGGCAGCGCGCCCCCTCCGCCCCGACCTCTTCTTACTTTGGCACGCGCGCACGGCACCTGCGCCGCACCCCCACCCCTCTCCCGCAGCCAGCCCCGCCCGTTCTCCTTCTCTTGGGGCGATATCTGCAGCAGAACCGGCAGGCTAGCGCGCGGCAGCGGCAGCATCTGGAGCCATCTTGCCTCGTGCGCCCGAGTCGGGTTTCCGACCGCCGCTCCTCGGGACTCCCCTCGCGATGTCGGGCGCCCTGTCGAAGATCTCCGCCGCGCCGGCGCTCTGCGCGCTGCTGGCCGCTGCCTTGGCCATCCCCGCGGCGCGCCAGCTGTGGGCCCGTGCCGCCGCGGCGCTGCCTCCGGCCGCCAGCCCCGGGGCCACCGCGCGGATGCTCGACGTCGACATGATGCTGGCCGTGGCGCGGTCTCTCAGTGGCTCCACGCCCCCAGTGAGGGCGCTCCGGGCGTGGCCGTCCCAGGGGAGCGCTGGAGGGTTCCAACGGTGGGGGTCATGGCAGAGGGGGGTCGGCCCGCCCTGGAGTCAGCTGGGGGTCTGAGGTGACCCAGCACTGGTTTCGGCCAGCAGGAAGGTGGGGGCGAGGTTCTAGGTTCGGGGTTCGAGAAGGCTTTTCGTTCGGTGCCCAGGACCGCCTACCCCACCGCTCCAGCGCTCGACCGCCCGCAGACACGCGTGCGGCACCGCTGCAGCGCACAGCCGCCAAGGCACGAGGCAGACCTCCCGCTGCGGGGGACACTGCAAAGACGAGCACTCATTGTACCGAATCTTCTGAGCGGTGAGCTGTGTCGGGTAGGGCTTCTGCGTCATCCGAGGTGCCCCCCCCGCTCAATACGTGGTGCAGCCACGAGCCAAGCATCGACTGCTTAGATCATGTCATTGTTCCCATGTCGTCGCAAAGCAAAGAAAACTGCACCAGGTGGATCCTGGGAGGGGTGGTCTGGGGACCGATTTTGACCAGATTTGCCCTTATCCCCCCCTCCTGGCCGATTTTCTCAGGGCCCATCCAGCTCAGAACCCCTGGCCGCCTTCCCAGGACCAGCCCCCCGCCCTCGCGTTGTGTCATTCGGATCCCTGCGCCAAAGGCTATGCGGGCTTGTCCAATAAAAAGCATGTTTGGCCTGTGTGAAAAGGCCGCCAAGTGACGCGAAGCTATGCTTCAAACTGGCACGCCGAAGCAAGAGAAGCTGGTAATGAGGATGCAAGAAACGTGCAAAGGCGGACACATCGTGCCTCCCCCCTCTCCAGAGCTGCTGGGGGGAAGTTTTGAAGAGGGGGTTTGGCAACTCCACTCTGCTTTGACGACCCCCTTTTGGAGCACCCCAGGATGGTGCGGGTAGACTACGCGGCTGGCCCTAAGATATCCGAGCGCTTCAGCGTCAGGTCTCCGAGCGGTGCAGTGCGGCGCGTCACTGTGGACCAGTTCCGCGACAGCGGCCGTGGCGCTGCCGAGGCTCCGTCCGCGTCGCTGGACCTTTTGATCGCGGGGCTGGAGTGGCTGCGCGCGGACGTTGTTGCCGATGAGGCCACGCATCGAAGACTGTGCCACCCCGACGCCGAGATGTTCGGTGCTCGTGGCGTAGAGGAGATCATTGCATTCAAGCGCCGCTTTCTGATCAAGACGCCAGCGTATGACATACCGAGCGTCGGCCTCGATGAGGCCAACAGGCTGGTAACGTGCGAGTTCAATTGCTTGCTGGACGGAATTGAGGGTGTCGGCACAGAGTTTGTGTTCTTCGACTCCAACTTACAAGTCCGCCGTGTGACCGCGGTGCGCCACAGCGGGACGGAGCCGTGGCGGTCTTGAAACAACAGTCCAAGCACGAAGATCCAGAGTGCGTTCTTGTCAACCGACTGCCGATACATCTGCCCCTCCTGTGCCATTAGATGATGAGGTCAATGAGGAGGACAGCAGGAGGAGGGGAACTGCATGCCGGAGACTCAGACATGGAGCACGACATGTGGACAGCGCGAGCTCCGCTCAGGTTCGCACCTGCAGGGGCCACGAGGGTGGTCGGACTCCCTCAGGGCTCGGCCCAATCACAGCGTTACATCCTGGGCTCCCACGGCAGCGAACGTTGGAAGTAGAGGAGAAGCAGGAGAAGGAGGTGGAGGAGGAGGAGGAGGACGAGGAGGAGGAAGAGGAGGAGTAGCAGGATGGAGGGATGGATGAGTCATGAAGGGATTTAGGAGGGGGAGGGAGGGAGTCATGGAGGGAGGGAGGGAGTCATGGATGGATTTAGGAGGGGGAGGGAGGAAGCGGAAGAGAAGAAAGAGGAGGAGGAGGAGGAGGAGCAGGAGGAGGAGGAGGAGGAAGGGGAGGAGGAGGATGAGGAGGAGGAGGAGGAAGGGGAGGAGGAGGAGGACGAGGAAGCGAAGGATGGAGATGGAGGTGGAGGATTAAGTGGGGAAGGAAATGATGATGTGGAATGATGACGATGACCATGGAGATGATAATGACGGTGATGTTGATGACGATGATGATGCTGATGATGATGATGATGCTCATGATGAGGATGTTGATGTTGATGCTGCTGATGATGCTGAGGATAATGGTGCTGATGATGCTGATGATGCTGATGATGCTGATGATGCTGGTGACGACGACGACGATGCTGATGATGATGTTGCTCATACTAGTTGATGGTGGAGATGATGATGATGATGATGATGATGATGCTGATGATGATGATGATGATGTGATGAAACTGATGATGATGGTGATGATGGTGATGGGGCTGATACTGATGATGGTGATGATGATGATGCTGATGATGATGATGATGATGGTGAGGAAGCGAGGAAGCGGAGGATGGAGATGGAGTTGGAGCATGACGTGGGAGAGACATGACGTTGTGAAGCGATGACGATGACAATGAAGATCACGATTACGTTGATGATGATGCTGAGGATGCTGATAGTGATGATGATGCTGGTGACGGTAATGACGCTGATGATGTTGATGTTGTTGATAATGAGGATGCTGCTGATGATGCTGCTGATGATGATGCTAATGATGATGCCGCCGCTGATGATGCTGATTGTTGATGGCGATGATGCTGATGATGATGTTGCTGTTGATGTTGATGCTGATGCTGATGCTGTTGCTGATGATGATGATGATGCTGATGATGGCGAGGAGGAGGATGAGGAGGAGGAGGAGGAGCCGGAGGAATGTTGCTGCTGACGGTGGTGGTGGTGTTGGTCGTGGTTGTGACGGTGATGGTTGTGGTGGTGGTGATGATGATGACGATGAGGATGAGGAGGATGCGGAGGAGCAGGATGAGGAGCAGGAGGAGGACGATGAGTCGGAAGGGAAGGAAGGAAGTGAGTTTGAGGGCACGGCTGCAGCAGCGGCAGCTCAGGATGGTGAATCTGCCTGTCCTGACGTGCACTTCCTCCCTTTTCGTCCCTCCTCTCTTCCTCCCTTGACCCCCTCCTTCTCCTGCGGCTCGCTGGCCTCTTTCTCTTTCTCTCATCTCCTCTCTGCTCGTCCTGCTTCTAGTCCTCCAGTCCGCCTCCTCCTCGTCCTCCTTGTCCTCTCTCCTCCTCTTCCTCCTCCACCTTTCCCCCTTGTCATTCTTACTCCTCCTTCCTCCCTGGCATTGAGAGTGCAATGCTGCCAAGTTCGGCAGCCAGCGCGCCATCACTGGCAGCAGCTGCAGCTGCATTTCCCACAGGCTGTCGCGCTGCGTCCCACTCTTCGCTTTGTGATTTCGCTTCGCGGTAGCCGGCAAATCGTCGAAGGATGACGAAGCGCTTTGACCATAACAGCTCAATATCGAGACGGGAGGCTTAACACTGCTCTCCAAAGTCCGATTCCGAGCCGCCTTCAGCCAACTCCCCTACGTTCGCAGTGGCAGCCTCGAGGCGTTCTGCCTCCATGGAGACGAGACTCGGAACCCGACGAGCCACTAGACAAGCCAAGTCGTGTCCAGTGGCCTCCGTCTAAGGCCCGAGCCCGCAAACTGCGGGGACCAGCAGGGGTTGGGGCCTGACATGGCTTCGTAAGGCTCTGCACACCTCCCCAGGCATAACTGCCACAAGATGTGCACACCGCCATGCGACTGCCCGACAAAACAGGGCGCCCATCCGCCCGAAACGCAGAAGCCATCCTAAGATTGTGCTCTTGCAATTTCATCAGCACTGTGAGCTCTCTGCCAGGGGGGATCGCATGAGACACACGCCTGTCCCTGCCTACTGTGAGAGCGGTCATGCCGGCAAGGTCTAGAGGAGGTTTAGGAGGAGGGATGTAGTGAGGCAGCTTATCGGCATCCTTCCGCCCCGGGTCAACACGCAGCACTTTTGCTGTGCCGTCTACCGGCCCGCCTCGACTGCGAGCAGCTGCAGTCTGGCCAATTCTCTGACAGATGCCGCTGTGCACGGGTGCCACTGACAGAGCACCCAGCTTGGCGTACGAATCGGTGGATTCGTTCGCCTCTCGCTTCCAAGCAGTCGTGCGGCGTGTTTCAACTTCAGTATGCGTGCAGTGCGCCCGAGTCTTATGAAAGGACAGGGTCCCATCGTCATCGAAAACGTGCCTCACGCGCTGCTAAAGATGAGCGTTCGTGCAGTCGTCTGAGGTCGAAAAGCTACGGTTGCACAAACAATGAACCGTGGAGTCGCAATCAGCATAAACCTCAATCGGACCAAAAGAGCACGGCGACTACATATACGTGGCATACATAATCCTCGGCATCATGAGACGATTGCTGTGGACACTTATCGAGGGGGACGGCCCCATAGGCTGCAGCAGTCGTGCGGCAGCCCGCCCGAGCAGTGGCAAGGCTGGAGAGAAAGTGTTGCCGTCTGAGAAAATCGTGAACCGTCGGCAGGCCTGTTCACCCAGTGCACCCTGGCCTCATAAGACATGAGAGCCTTTGGAGTCAGCGCCCGTGGAATGGGAACACATCGCATGCATGCTTAGTCAAAATCCTGGTCTAATCGGCTCGCCACGCGAACCGTGTGCAGCAGCAGGCTGGAACAGTGATGCGTGTGGTCTGGCGCCCATGGCGTACAAGAGTAACGACGGTGAGACAAAGTGCCCATGGCGTACAACAGTAACGATGGTGAGACAAAAACAAGTGCCCGCCTTCTCACCGCACAACGTGGACAAGGTTCGGATTTACCAGCTTGTGCCTGTGTCCAGAACTCCATCGAAAGGAGGCCCCGTACAGTATAGATGTGCCGTTCCGTCCAGCCCGCAGCGGGCTTACGATCCAATAGCTGCTGCAGCGAGTCCCCCAAAGTGTCCGCACTGGAAGAAACACGCGCCACGAACAGCGATCGAACATCCGGGGCGGCACGAGCCGCTTGACGTGCTTGCTTTCTTATGTGGATCGGCGACACTTGCAGGAAGTCCAACCCCAGCTCCGTAGCCGTACGAGATACTGGAAGCTGAGGGCAACCACATGCGCTGGCGATGTAGCTTGAGTCCAAGGCGTCCAAGATGCCCTAAGCTGATCGGAGGCTGCCGTAAAGACCTGCTGGGGCATCGACACAGACGGCACCCCTTCCCAAACAGCCCTTGCTGTAGCTGGGATATCGAAGATTTGTCATCTAACCGATCTGTTCCCCATTCGTCCTGCAAAGCTTTGACGGCAACATTGCACAGAAGAGGTTGCCCTGACACGCCCATGGGCCCGACGACAGGAATTGCCGTTTTGGCAGATGCATGGGCGGCAGCCCCGCCTTCCTTCACCGATGCTTTCGCTCATCGCGCCCATTTTTCCCAATGGTCGTTCGAAGCCTTCCGTCCGCAAAATTTTGTGGGCGACCTCATGCACACCGCTAAGAACATTAAAGCAACATTCGGCCAACGTCATATGGGAAACCTGCTCCACATAATACCCGGCATCAGCGAGGTACTCCCCCAGGGCAGCTTCTACGATAGTGCCCTTCCTCTGATAATCTACGAACTTCCGCTGGTACGGCCCCCCTCGGTCGTGCCGACGCTTCATCAGCTAATTCCAGAATTCCAGTCGGCCCCCGTGGTATCCACCTGCCAGGCGGCGGGGGTCAGCGCCAAGCCAAGCCGACGTAATCTTAGCTAGCACTGATGCCAACTGCCGCCGCGCACTCGCCTGGGGGGTACAGTGAGCATCCCAGTGGCGCTACAACGGGACACGCTGCGTCCTCCTCCTCTTCCGCGCCCACGCCTGCTCAGCTGCCGCTTGCCGCTGCCGAGGGTTGACCACAGGACACCTTCGTAGTATTATTTGCTCTAGGCCGCCCTCCTCTTCGTATGGACGGTGCTCCTCCAGGTCCTCGTCGTCGTCCTTGTCCTGCTGCCCTACCAGGCATTCTTCCCCCTCAGCAGCAGCATCTCCCGAGCCTTCCCCGCCCGAGGACGGCGGGGCGGAGGAGGGCAGCGAGGTCGGCGGCGGCGGCTCCGAGGACGGCGGCGACGAGGAGTACGTCCCCGAGGGCGGCAGCGGCAGCCTCGTGGAGGAGCCGTATCGCTCCCTTGATGAAGAAACTGCGACGGGAGGGGTTTCTGTCATTTTCGGTCTCCGGGGGCCCTCGCCAGGCCCTGGGGCTGTCAAAAAACGGCTCGGGATGAAAACCCGCCCCAGGGAATGGGTTGAGACCTCTGGGGGTCGACGCTAGGAACATCTCATCACGTCGGGCGTCTGGGCCTTTTGTCCGGCGCCCTCCCACATCCAAGTTTTCCATCTCCGTAGTCCCACGCCCCTCCCCCGTCTCTTCCGCCGCCTTCCCGTCCCCCGCATCCCCCTTCCCCGCGCTCGGCTTACCCTGCTCCCCCTCCTCCCCCCCTCCTCCATTCCCCCGTGCCGCTTCCCCCTTTTCCTCCTCCCTCGCTCTGCCCTTCTTCCGCCCCGCCCTTCCCCCTCCCTGCCGCCCTGTCACCGAAGCTCGAGCTTGCCGAGACGGATTGGGGCCTTGTCTTGGTGGGCGCCCTCCAGTGTTGCCGCTTGTCCTCACCGTGGCCCTCCCTTTAGTCGTCGTCGTCGTCGTCGTCGTCGTCGTCGTCGTCGTCGTCGTCGTCGTCGTCGTGTCGTGCTACTGCTGTTGCTCCTCGTCGTCGTGCTGACGCGTTTGTCGATAGGGAGCTGCTGTTTTTGGCCAGCGCCTGGACGACCTGCGGCGCTGCTCTCGGTTTTTGTTGCTCGAGGGGCCCTGGCTGTGGCCTGAGCCTCCGCACATCACCGTACAAGAAATCAGGTCTTCAATCTTGGAGTTTCGTGAGAAACCTTGGTAATCATATGTTTGAAGCTCGTAAGGGTAATCCAAACTTGCCGTTGGGTCTTGAGTCGGGCAACTCATGTGACTCGGGTCTTGCTGGGTCGCACGATTCGTGTGGAACTGTCCAGCTGTGCCTGGTGCGCAAGAGCACACGGCCTCCTTTTCGGATCGCCATACGTCGGGGCCATCGCGTATTGTCCCGCCAACGCATTCGCCATTGTCCGGCGGTGTCATTTCGGTTTTTGTTGCGATGATCAGTTTGTGTGAGGCTCACGTGGCTTAACAATCGCAGCATGTGTGGAGCTAGATCGTCAAACGGCCTAGTCAGGATTATGCAGGTGGCTTATCGGCCTCATTCGCATGCTTTGCCGCCTTGTATTTGAAAGACTGGGAAGGACAGTACAGCTGTGCAGAGATTCGGAAGACTAAGCGTCGCTATAGCTCGATTGATAATGCCCTCTCCCACAACCTCGAGGCGGAAATCGCCACCCTGGTTGGCGACATCGCTGTATTCATCGAAGTGTTCACACGTCTAGATCATACAGTCCTCCCAGTAGCTGGCGGAAGACCACGTTCTTACGCTTCCTCCAGGCCCGTTGGCATGCTGAGGGAACTGTGCAGGCAACCAGGCCGCCCGCTAACTTTCTGCAGTTTTTCTCGGGCCCTCGAGGTCCTTGAAGGTGTCATCGTGTCTGTAGCCACGCGACGGGCATGCTTATACATTTTGTTGGCGTGTTGAGCGATGCCAAGGCCGAGCGGGTTTTTCTCTCACCGGCGACTGTTGTCGGCGACATGCAGTCCATCTCGAATTGGTTGGGTGACCACGGTTCGCTCAAGCACGCCTGTCAATCTTCTCTCGCACGCTTTTTGTTTTCTCAGGCTTTGCGCGAAACGGGACAAGTTTGGGGTCGTGGCTCGTGCAGCTCGTGAGTATGCTCAGCCCCAGTGCTGAGATATCCAGCTGCACGCGGCAAATCCGCCACCGTGCCAGGGAACCACTCTGTGTGGCGAACCCTCGAGCACGGCCTGGAAGGCCGCCACATGTGGCGCCTCTCAGTTCCACTTCTCGGGGAGCTCTCCTGGGGCCCAAACTTGGACCGTCTTGGGGCTGTCCCTGGCTCGTGGGGCAGTCTCGGGGGTCCCGTGGGGCCCTCGTGTGCTGCCTTGGGGCCACATTGGAACGTTGTGGGGCTCCATTGGGAAGTCTTGCGGCTCTTTTGGCCGTCTGGGGATTTCCTGGGGCTGTCGTGGCCATCTAGGAGCCCATTTAAGCCGTCTTGGGTCCCTCCAAAGGCCCTCTTGGATCAGCTTGGACTCCCTGGGCCGTATGGTGGCCCTCCTGGAGCTCTTACAGGGCTCCTCTGCCCCCTCGAATTCCGCAAGGGAAGCGATCTTCGACCGAAGAGCCTGGAAAACCAAGAACGCCGAACAGAGTGGGGGAACACGCTGTTCTTTTGCCTCTCGAGGGCCTCCTGGAGAGCGTTTTGGGGGTGTGTTGGAGCCTGTTGGGGGCCTCTTGGCTCATGCATGCGTCTTGAGGCAATGTTGGGCCATCTTGGTGGCCTTGGTGGCCCATATGGGCTGCCTTTGGAGCCTTGGGGAGCCTCGGGGAGCGCAAGGGAGTTGTCGGGCTGCACGAGAAACCTCGAGGTAGAGGTGGGGGGTTAGGGGTGGGAGGGAGGGTGGTTTGGGTGGGTGGGTGGGGGGTGGGTGGGGGGCGCGAGAGTGAAGGGGCGATGCGTGCGACAATGTGTGTTGAGGAGTGTGGGTGTGTCCCTTCGAATACGTATTGAAATCCTGCCAGACAGCACTTGGCATTCTGCCACGGCTCAGTGTGCCAGGGGGCACGGTGACGGACGGGGTTCGCAGTTTCGAACACACGGGACATGCCTTAAGCGGAGGACCGTTTTTTACATGTTTGAATTCTGTCAGAAAAGACGTGTGCGTGCGTGCGTGCGTGCGTGCGTGTGTGTGTGTGTGTGTGTGCGCGTGTGTGTGTGTGTGCGTGTGTGTGTGTGTGTGTGTTTGTGTGTGTGTGTGTGTGTGTGTGTGTGTCGGCGCTTATCTGGACGGCTCTACTGCGCGTACCCCTGCGTTCCGCGTATTGGGCCTCGTCAGCGCCCGTGGATGCACCTCCGCGGCGGCCCGGCCGCTGTCACGGCACCCGCTGCCGAGGCTGGCCGAACCAGCGTACTTAGGATGGAAGCCTTCCGCCTCTGAGTGCCCCGCCTCCTCCCTCCGCCTCCGCGGCCGCCCTGTCTGTCTCAGTCTCTCTTGTTGCACGCTGGGCATTTCCTCTTCGGTAGGCCCGTTTAGCCCGACCGCTGGTGCAGTGACCTCTGCCTCGCCGTTGACGAAAAAGTGTGTGTGTGCCAACACCCCCGCTCAGCGTCGTCGCGAAACCGCGCTCAGAAAACGCCGCATGGCGCAATGCTTCTTTCTTGTCGCGCACAGACGCCCTGCTCGCAGCCAGCCGTGGAGGCGGTGCTTCGCATTTCGCAGGCACAAGTTTGCGCTGTATCAGGCAGTTCGCTTCCTCGCTGGCTGAAGGGAAAACCATGGTGACAACATAACGTATGTGGCAAATGCTGCGGGCATGGCTTACTGTTGACACCAGCTGGCAGCAGCCGAATGAGCCACTTTCGGCTATCTGGCGGTTCCTGTTGCACCCGGTTGAGGTTTGGTCGGTGGCCACACGCTGCTGGCGGGCCATGGAGAGCCCCTCTCATATGTCTCCAACCACTTGCAATGCCGAGTTGACGGCGCCGTCGCCTCCTCGGTCACACGAATGCCTCACTTGGTAGTGGTGATGCATGGCATTGTGCGTTGAACGCAGCCTTGAGGCCGTCAAGCATCCAAGCGACTTAGTGTTTTCTCAGAGGTCTGGGCTGATGCTATTCCTGTCCACGCTGTATGCGCCAGGTGTAATCATGATGTAGAGCAACAATGTACATATGCACGTGTTTGGTATGTGCATTCTGGGCTATGGTGTGAGCACGGCTGAGGTTTACACTGTAATATTATGCCTGAGCTGATTCTTACATAGCTGGCCTGACGCTGTGCTGACGTCTAGCTTGGACATTCGTGCGTTGCTCCATTATGAAAACATATGTTGAGCGTTTTGTTTGCCCACGCTCCCCATGCGCATTCCCCCCCGAGTCCTTTCCCGATGCTGTGTCTAGGAGAAGCGGCGGTGGTGAGTGGGTCCCGACATGTTCTCGGATGGAAGCTGCCTCCCCTGTAGTATCCCGGAGTAGCTTGTGCAGGCTGGGCTGCTTTCCAGGTCCACCCTGAGGTGCTATTCAGGTCCAGATCCATCCATTCTGAGTCACGCAAAAACATCGGCCGTACGAGGCACTGGGCGGTCTCTCCTTCTCGCATGTCACATATCGCACGGCGTCGGACTGACAGTGTTGCGCGAGGGGAATGATCGCAGCACGATCTTGGAATGCCAGCGTTTATTGCAATCTGGCGAGCAATCTTTCCCCTCGGCCTCGCGCCGCAGCCTCGGTCCTCTGGCTTCAGCGCCTCGTGCGCTCGATGATGGCACCCTGCAGGCTTCCTGTCTGCGTTGCTGGGCTGCAAGCACCTGAGCAGATTTTTCCACGAAGTTTGGAACCCTGACTCATGCGCATGCCGCAGTTTCTTACAAGGACATAGGCTTCAGTATCAGTCGCTATTGACGAGCTGCAGTATCATAAGCTATTCATGGCTAATCTATTTCTTGGGCTGTACCTCAAATCCGCACCTCGATACTTGGATGCAATGCGTTTCTCATGACATGCTCGGTTTGGTGGTTCCTCGCATTTCCCCCTCAGGTGAAGACAACCTTGCAGGAGTCTTTGGTATTGCTGCCAGAGGGGAGGGTGGTGCTTTTGTCAGCTCAGGGTGTGTATGCGAGCGCCCGCCTCCCCCAGGCTTGGTGCACCAGCGCCGAGGCCTTTGATGAGTTTGCGAGACTGGGCTCGACAGCTGAGTTGGCTCGAATGTGCGCCCCTAGATGTCGTATCCCGAGATCTCGTACTGTTGGTATCGGCTGCACTGGCAGTCCGAGAGCCGTGCTGACCAGAGCCGCCCAGCCGTCCTGGCCAGAGCGACGGCTGTGACGGGCATGCTCGAACGAAGTGACTGCCGTGGAGACCAGCAGACATATTGCGAAGGCCTTGCGGCCGATGCCGCCGACCCTGGAGCATGACGGAAAGAGCGCTAGCGAGAGGATTTCTGCTCAAGGCTTTTGCCCAAATGTGGGGGGGAGTCTGGGGGGGGTGGACGAGGCGTGGGGGGTGCAAACTCATAAGACGCTCTCCGGTGGTCATTTGGGCGGCGTTTTTCGTTTGATGAGGCGCTGTCGGACGTCGGAGGCGTTGAAAGCGCGCTTGCCGCGCTCGGGAAAGTGTCCCTCCTCCGTTCTGTGATGGGGAGGAGGAGGAACAGGCGGAGGAGGAGGAGGAGGACAAGGCCGAAGAGGAGGGAATACCCGGTTGTTTTGTAACTTCCTAATTTGTTTTGTAGCTTCCTAGGAGAGTTTTTGGGGCCTCTCGGGAGCCTCTTGGGGCCTCTGTGGGCTTCCTGGAGGGCCTCTTGGGAGCTTTTCGGGGCTAAGGGCTCGAAATGTCCGGGTCCCCCGTGTGGGCGCTCTCGTGGAACCGTTTTGGGGGCCTTTTGTGAATCTGGGAGGCGTCTTGGGGCACTTTTGGGCCGTTTTGGGGCCCTCTTGGAGGCCTCTTGGGCCGTGTCGGGGCGATCTTGGGAGCCTCTTGGGCCGTCTTGGCGCGTGGGGAAGCGGAAGAGGCGAGAACGCCCAAATCCTTGAAAAACAAAGGGGGATCCATGATTTGTGCCTCTTGGGGCTCTCGTGGGAAGGGTCCTGGAGGCTTCGAGGAGGGGGGGGTCCCCCATCTGGCAGACCATCGGGCGGAGGACGGCGAAGAGGAAGGCAGGAGGAGGGGGCGGGATGAGGTAGGAGGAGGCGAGGAGGAGGTGGTGGGAGGGGAGGGCCGGTGGGAAGAGGAAGGGCAGGAGCAAGAGAAGCAGGAGGTGGGGCCTCTGTGGGCTTCCTGGAGGCCTCTTGGGAGCGTCTCGGGGCTGAGGGCTCGAAATGTCCGTTCGGGTCCCCCGTGTGGGCGCTCTCGTGGAACCGTTTTGGGGGCCTTTTGTGAATCTGGGAGGCGTCTTGGGCCGTCAGGGGGCACTTTTGGGCCGTTTGGGCCCCCTCTTGGAGGCCTCTTGGGCCGTGTCGGGGCGATCTTGGGAGCCTCTTGGGCCGTCTTGGCGCGTGGGGAAGCGGAAGAGGCGAGAACGCCAAGATCCTTGAAAAACGTATGGGAAATCCATGATTTGTGCCTCTTGGGGCTCTCGTGGGAACGGTCCTGGAGGCCTCTTGGGGCGTCTCGCAGGCCTCTTGGGCCGTCTGGAGGCCGTCAAGGCGTCTTGGACAGATCATTCGGCGATTCGGGGCCCTCTTGGATCGTCTTGGGGGCCTCTTGAGGCACTCTTGGCCCGTCTTGCGGCTTTTTTGGGCTCCGGGATTCCCTGGGGGGGCGGCGTAAAAACCCGGGACCCCCCCCGGGAGGCGGCGTAAAAACCCGGGACCCACCCCGGGACAACCCCCCCCCCCCGGCGGGGAAGGGATCAAAGGGAAGGGGCTTCCCTTCGACTCAATTACGACGTTGCTCAATTTCGCTTTGGATTGGCACGCTTCAGGAGGAGGCCCTGGGAGAGGGGTGGAAGCAACGACGCTGTGAGGAAAGGGGAAGGATCGACGACGACGACGACGACGACGACGACGAGGGAACAGACGGAGAAGCCTCTTCCACACGCCGACAGGGTCGGCGGATTTTCTCCAGTCTTGGTGGACGTTGCCGTGGGCCCAAGGTCAACCCTTTGTTAGGTATCTTCTGCTGGTTCACCGCGCGGACGAGCAGGCAAAACGGTGGTTTTTGTTGGCTTTCGCTGCTTAGCAGGAATGTCTCTCGCGCCGCATGTCTCCTGGATTCTCAGGTCGCGATATATCCGCAGAGCGGACGACCTCCATTGCAGGTCCTGGAGGCCTCTGGAGGCCTCCAGGAGGCCTCTGGAGGCCTCCAGGGGCCTCCCGGCACGACCAGAATCCATTATCCTCGATCCTCGATCGTCGTGGGCACTATCAGCCAAAGCCCGCTCGAGCTCTGGCTGAGCGCCGGCCGCAGGAGCTTGGGCAGGACGGCTTTGAGGCCTCCCTGGAGGCGAGTCCGAGCGCCTCGTCGTCGTCGTCGTCATCGTCATCCTCGTCGTCGTCGTCGTCGTCGTCACCGTCGTCGTCGTCGTCGTCGTCGTCGTCGTCGTCGTCGTCGTCGTCGTCGCCGTCGTCGTCGTCGTCGTCGTCGTCCTCGTCGTCTTCGTCGATCGATAGCTGAGGGTCGAGATTTTGGACGCTTTTGTTCATCTCAAGCTTCTACGTGCCTCTGGAGACCTCCAGGGGCCCTCTGGTGACTTCCAGAGAGCTGGGAACCGACGGAGGAGGTCGTCGTCGTCGTCGTCGTCGTCGTCGTCGTCGTCGTCCTCGTCGTCGTCGTCGTCGTCGTCGTCGTCGTTTGGCGCCCGCGCGCCCCCGTCGTCCAGCAAACACCAGCACCGTCCTCGTCCTCGTCCTCGTCCCTGTCGGCGTTGTTGCCCTCGTCCTCATTGTCCTCGACGCGGTCTTCGTCGTCGTCGTCGCCGTCGTCGTCGTCGTCGCCGTCGCCGTCGCCGTCGTCATCATCATCGTCGTCGCAGTCATTTCCTCTTTCCCCTTCTTGTGCACGTCCTCCTTGACTCGATGTTTAGGCTAGTGATGTGGCCTTATGCGGAGTCCCAGCGCTCAAGAGACGCGAGTGTCGACCTTCGCGCCCACTACGGGGGCTCAAAGTTTGGCTCAAAGGCGGCCAAACTGGGGCTCAAGGGCTGCCCACCCCGGTGCTGCCCACCCAGGTCTCATTTACTCTATCTAATGTTGGGGCGCCAGTGCGCAAGTCTTCAGACCTGTCAGCGGCAGCAGCTATGGCAACAGCCAGCTCGAGGATGCCTGGGACGCCGGTAGGTGGCCTGTGGCCTGTGGCCGTCTCCGCGCATGCCCGACAGGCGTCTTGAGTGATTTCGTTTTTCGAGTCCGATGCATGAGATGGGCGATGAAGTGGAGGATGTGGGGGTGGGATCTTATCCAGCGGGGGCGGCGGAAATCACGTGAGGCAGGAAGGCAGGAGGGCATCACGACGGAGTCGATGACGCAGCTCTTCGATCAGCACTTTGGTCTAATCCAGTCTGACATCGAGGACATTTTGGCGGACGGCATCTCTCGGCAGGACCTCGATAACGCGATGAAAACATTGAGAGGGGCAATCCAGGACATCAATACCCAGGTCGCTTCCCTTGAGCAGTGGTATGGTTTCCTAACCCCATCGCCGACGAGTTGTCCATGTGAGACCGAGCTCAGCAACAAGATGGTTGAGTTCACAGAGAAGCTTGCACCAAATATATTCTTCTTTTTAGAAGTGTGTTCGGACTTACCCCTCCCGGAATTAACATGCTATTTTGGAATTGCAATTGACACATGATGTTGCCCCATCGTTCATCCTGACTTTATTTTCATACCATCCCAGGCAGGCTGGTATCGCTTCCCCCCTTCATCCTCTGCAAAAAAATACTATGCGCGCATTTCGTTCATCAGAAATTCCTTGCTACTCGAAAGCAGTCTTTGATATCAGAAATCACGAGTTCTCAAACATTCGTTGCAACAGATGGGACAAAGGGCCCAAGCGCGCGTCGTCGCGCGCGCATGCTGAAATCATGCAAAATCTTAGGTCTCGTACGGATTTCAAAATCTAGTGTCCCAGAAGCATATAAACAACATATGGTTTCGCAGCTCAATTCTCAAACAAAACATTGCGCTGGGGATCTTGCGAAATCTTAAGAAAGCCATGCTTTATATATATTTATGTATGTATACCATGTTCGTAAAGTGCTACTAAACGGGCCTCTCGCGCGCGCATGTCGGAGTCGCTCGAACTCCCTTGCGCGCGTGTTGTCGCAATAGTCCATTGCACACAGTGGGACGAAACGCACACGCGCGCGTTGTCGGGCGCGAGTGCGGAAATCCTTCAAATACCTTTGGCTTGGTGCGGAAGTCAAAATCGAATGTCCCGATTTTATATATGGATACACACCTATCTATCTATATATCTATCTATCTATCTATCTATCTATCTATCTATCTATCTATCTATCTGTCTATATAGCAGAACTGAAACGAACGCACATGGTTTCGCAACACGAGCTTTCAAACACAACTTGCGCTCGGGCTCCTTGCGAACTCTTCAGACAACCATGGGTTCTTCAAGAGTTACATACCTTGCAACCAGACAGGCCTCTCGCGCGAGCATGTTGGAATCGCTCGACCGCCCTTGCGCGCGTGTCGTCGCAAGAATTCCTTGCAACAAAGTGGACGACGTGCGCGCGCACGTCGTCGCGCGTGCATGCCGAAATCCTGCAAAAAGTCTACGGTTCGTATGGGGTTCAAAATCGAGTGCCCCGAAGACATATAAACAACACATGATTTTGCAACATTTGTTTTTTGTTGAATGCCTGCGTTCGCGCATCTGGAAACTCTTAGGATCACCATGGGTGTAAGTTCGGCCAAACGGGCGCCTCGCGCCGCACGTCGAAATCATTCGAACGTTCTTGCGCGCGGGCTGGGGTGTGGGGGTGGGGGGGGGGGGCGCGATCCGTTTCAAATAATACCATGCGGGCCACTTTCGCGCGTCGGCCGCACGCGTGTGTCGAACTCCCTCCAACACCTTCATCACCGACGCGAGGACGCCGTCATCGTCGTCGGCGTGACCAGCATCGGCGCCGTCACTGGCCTTGCCGTCGTCGTTGTCATCATCGTCACCAGCATCGTTACCATCATCATCGCGTCTACCAGTGCCGACGTAACCATGATACCGCGCCTGCCCAAGTCGCCGACTCGCACTGAAGTGCCCGCTGGGAAGTGACCAGCGGTCGGCGCCACCGCGCCCGCGTTAGTCGCGCCAGACTAGCTGACCGCTGCGCGCGCGAGCATGCGTGGGCTAGCGCGGCTGCAGAGATGCACCGGCCAACTTCAAGCACTCATTGCAATTGCCGCCGCGTGGGCTTTGCAAGCCACGTTGCGGGTGGGTGGGTGGAATGTTTGCACGAGCAGCGGTGTGGACAACTCATTGCGAACAGAAATCACTTGCGCCACATGGTTTGCACCACTAAGATTGCACTATCATGCTTGCACCATCTAGCGTGCACCAGACATGTTACCCGAGATGCCATCCAGGCCGCGATTTTGTAGGCGCCGCCCAGTTGACAAGCACCTGTGTCGGCGCATGGCCTCTTTCCCGCAGTGACAATGTTTCGTCTCCAAACAGTGACCGACTCCACTTAGGGCTTCTTATTCCTTTGTAGAGGAACTGGGACTGTCTGTCGGTCTCGCGGCTATGTGGCCGCCGTCGCCGCCCCTTCGCCGCCTCGTCGAAGCCCGTCGTCCAGCAGCTCTAATAAGGGAGACAAGGCACAGGCGGGCGTGGCTTCCGCATAGCTTACACATTCAGGGGTCAGAAACTCATAGTTTGGAGTCCACCCTAGCAGTCATTCCAGGGAACAGCGGGTGGACACCTGCAGATGGCGATCGTGGTGAGGCAACGTGACGCCACACAACTGGCGTCGTACTGTAATGTCCTGCGAACGTGGCAGAAACTCGAGCCTGGATCTGGGCTGCGGGGGAGGGCGGGGATATAGGATTCTGAGAAGAGTGAGAACGGACATCGCATGGCGCATCACAGCCCGTAAGCATATCAAACTAATTATGCGCTAGCGCAACGCATCCGTGAATCACCAGGCACACTGCGCGCCCTACCAGGCGCCTCATCTGCTACCAGCGGCATAAGACTGGGTTTCAGGCGAAGTGCCTCAAGCCACGGCGCAGCCCCAATCAGGCAGAATTAAGGGGTAATTGACACAGTTATCTCACTTCCGCAACGCTGGGTGAGGCAGTGGAGAAGGATAACAGTCGTGAACGACAGCACTAACTAACACGCATATCCCAAGAGCACGCAGCAACGTCGTACTGGCCGCGCAGCGGCAACCTGAACGGTGGCCCACACGGCGTTCAGACTGACCGATATCAGGACGCGGTCTGCAACTTTGCAGCATGATGTGCATTTGCTGGAGGAGTGGGGAAGGGGGGAGGATGAGAAGGATGGGATGCTCCAGCTGACTATTGGGGCATAGCTGCAGCGACTGCTTTCGATACCATGCTCACCAGGACTGTCTGCAATTGCATACCAAATTGCTACACGGTCAACATCACGTAATGCTTCCCCTGACGCCACCAGTTCTATCAGGAGAGGCCGCCCACGTCGCATGGGGCAGTCCGTCCAACCTTGGTGCGGATGTCAACGCGTCTCGCGACCACCTTGCGCACGAGGGGCGTGAAGGAAGGGGCCAGCGCCACGTCCAACACTTTCTGAAGGGGCTGCTCGAAGAGCTTGCTCTTCGCGTTCGGGTCAGGGGTCTTCTGAGAGAACACGAGGGCCCAGTACTCTACGAGGGCCGCGATCTTATCAGCGGGCCTCCTAACCTTCCCATCATACATTTGGATGTTCCTAAGACTGGCCGCCCAGGGAAGAATGACCACACAGCACACAGCTGCATTCCACTCTAGCGGTCTCAGGCATGGCAGCGGAAGGGGCAGGGGAAGACGATGACGAAGCAGCAGGAGCACGCTCTTCAACTCGCTCTTATTCCTCAATCGCTCGACGAGACGTAGTGCCCGATGAGGCCGTGGATGACTCGGTGCGCCTGAAAAACTCTGAGCGGCCTCCGCGACCAGCGCGCCCCTCGCGCGCCCCGACATAACAAAGAAGCGCCGCGCTAATGCCGTGCCATGCCTCGAGACTGCACGGACGATCTAAAGAGCCCCCAGCTGCAGCGTCTCTTCCGCTGGGGGCTGGCGGCGCAGGCACGTCATGCCACGCGTTCATCGCGCCGACTTGTTCACCGCTTCTTCAAGGAGTTCGTTGCTGATGGGATGGGGGGGGGGTGGGAGATGCCCAAGCCGCTGTTGGAATCCCCCCGCAGTCGGCGCCAGAACCCCCTGCGCCCAGGGGTGGCCGTCGCGCGAAAAACTTGGAAGCGCATGCCAGCGCAGGAGGCGCCCACGAGGCGTCCACGGGCGGCCACCGTGCGAGGAAGGTTGGAAGCGCATGCCGATTACTTTGGAAGCGAAACAGGATGCCCTCACCGGGCATCGAGTCGAGAACCTTGGCGTAGCGCGCCGCCAGTTCTGGCCCACTGCGCTTCGGCGCGACATGCTGTCCCCCGAGCTTTCCTGGGCCTCCCGCCCCGCGGAGCAGGGCACAGCGTGTCGCTGGGACACGCTAAGCCGAAGCCATGCGCCTGGGTGCTACGAGACGTGCGCTCGGATGGCGTCAAGGGTGTTGTCTCGTGCTCGGTCACCAGCTGGGTCGTGTAAACCAGGCGGCTCTGGCAGGACGGCCCTGGCAGTGCAGCACTGTTGCCGCACATGGAGTTGTTATCGCCACGCTAGTTTCTTCGTTTCTGGCCCAAGCTTTTGGAGAGGTGTCTCCTTCTTGTGCGCCAGCTACTGGCGCACCGTAATGTGTTAGCCGGCTGGCCTCAAACTGACCTTGATCTCAGTCTGCATGAGGCATGCGGAGGAGGGGGAAGGAAGGGTGTGACTATGAGCAACAGGCGGCCCAGCGGGGAGGGGGAGGAGGGGGAGCGAGGCGAAGAGAGCGGACGAGGAGGGCGATGAGGCGAAACATGGGAATCTGAAGAGGAGGGCGAGGTGTGTGCGGAGGAGACGAGGGAGTGGAAGTTGATCTCAAGTGGACCCGATGTGCATGTTGCTCGCCAGTCTCTCGCGGCAGGTGAGCCCCAGCACTGTCGGGACCCGGAACGACACAGTGGTTTTCGCCTTCGTCGCCGAGAACGTTGACTATCAAGCCTTGGCAGCGAGGGAAGCTCACAGTCGAGCGAAAGTGTCGTCTGACCTGGAGCCCCCTCCTTTTCAATCCATCTTTTCCCTTCTCCTACCTCCTTTTCTCACTCGCAGCAGGAGATCGGTCGGAGAAAGGAGTTCACAAAGGAACTTCGTCGGGCCATGCATGAACAACCTGCCAGCAGATCAAAACCGCAAGCTTGATGAAATCATCTCTCGAGTGTCAGGAAACAGCTGGCAAAGCATTGCTTGAAACCCTAGGATCAGACAATATGCTGCTAGCTTTCGGGGCACCCCAGGTCGCTTGCGACAGGGCGGAGCCGACATCGCTGAGGTAGTCGCGTTATCATATGAATCCTTGTATTCCGCAAAAACAGATACGCTGTAAACATAAGGGCCAGACAACTAGACGACAATCAGAGAGGTCCGGACGTCCTTCGACGAGGCTTACAGGACGATGAGCAAGAATATGGCATGCGTTGAAGGCGGCGTTGTGGATACGGTAAGCGGTGAGGTTCTGCTCGACACCATTGCACGTCTCTTTCGCGACTGACTAAACTGAAATAGCAATGTGCCAGAGGCTCTGTGTAAGACGGGGGTCGCAGGACTGGTAGCAAGCGGCACGCTGCCCTCCCAACAATGTATCAGCCTGTCGCCAACATTCCCGTGCCGAGCAAGTTCTAAAGTTTTGTTATTCTGCCACGTATTGATACGCTGATGTTTCGATTTCAAGACGCCAGAATCGCTTTGGTATTGAGAGATGTCTGTGGCGACCTCGCGCATTGCATGAGGATGATCCGCGAAACGAGTGCGGAGTAGGTGGGACTGTTCGGGCGGCTTCGGTTCACCAAGGAAAAGGATTTCGACATTATCTTTCATTTTGCAGTTCTTCGGTCGACAAGCAGGTGCCCTGACATTCCCATATCGTGCCCAACACTATTTCTGGGAGGTTAGCCATGATAATCTTTCAAATTTCAAGCTCTGGTGACGAATGTGCGCAGCGCTTAGGCGAGAGCCACATTTTGAAAACGAGCCGACTTCCATCCGTGAAGCTCTTGCAAAAAAGACTAATGTGCGCGGCGCCAAGTCGAGAGCACATTTTGAACACGGACCGCCGGACCGCCCTCCATCCGTGAATTGCCCTGCAAATTTTCGAAGCGAATGTGCTCGGCGAAAAGGCGAGAGCCACTTTTTGAAAACGGACCGCCCTTCACCGTGAAGCTTCTGCAAACTTTTAAGACGAATGTGCGTGGCGCTAAGGTGAGAGCCACATTTTGAAACGGAGCCGACTTCCATCCGTGAAGCTCTTGAAAAGGGACGAATGTGCGCGGCGCCAAGCCGAGAGCACATTTTGAGAACGGGCTGCCCACCTCTCCGTGAATTTCTCTACAAATTTTCGAAGCGAATGTGTACGGCGATAAGGCGAGAGCCACTTTTTGAAAACGGGCCGCCCTCCATCCGAGAATTGCAATTTTCAAGCCTCAGGGTCATAAGCTGTGAGGAAGTCTCCGGTGATCGCCCGGCCCGCCCTTTCGTCCGGCTTCGGGATGCGAGATGGAGGGGTTAGAAGGAAAAGGAATGGAGGGATGATGACCAGGGCTGGAATACGAGTTCTTTCCTTCTTGGTGTTTGTTCGTGCCCTTCTTGTTCGAGTTATTGCCCATATCCCCTGCTTCGTGTTGACTGGTGCAATCAGCGAATTTTGCGTAATATATTGACCATTTATTTACATTGACGGCTGCCTTACAATGGTCCACAATGCACATATCCCGTCGTTGTACTCTTATCGTTCTTCATCACGGTAAATTCAAGGCAGCACATGCTCGAACTCAATGAGGAACGAGCGGTTCTATAAGCAGGGCGTGTGTACAGGGCCAAGCGGGCGGGGAATGCGCAGGCATCCAACAAGAAAGTGAAAGACTCCCTTGTGAAAGGGCTGAAGCAGGCTCCCACTCTCCCCTTAATTATCTTTCGAGGCTGGAGCTGCACTGGGGGCGAGTGCACAACGGAGCGACGCTGATGCTCGCTTGTTCACTGCTCCTTTCCTGTCTGCCCCAAGCTCGCCACTCATGCTGGATGACGCGCGCATGACATGGGAGAAGAGTGGGAGTTCTGAGGAGGAAGTCTAGGGTTGTGTAGGATGAAGATGAGACTGCTACTGCTGATGATCATGATGATGGTAACGATGATAACGATGATGATGGTATTCATGATGATGCTGATAATGGTGGTGGTGGTGGCGATGCTGATGATACTGATGATGATGATGCTGATGATGATGATGATGAAGATGAAGATGAAGATGATGATGATGATGATGATGATGATGATGATGATGATGATGATGGCAATGATGATAACGACGATGCTGATGCTGCTGCTGATGATGATGATGGTAATGATGGTGATGGTGATGGTGGTGATGATGATGATGATGATGATGATGATGATGATGATGATGATGATGATGATGAGGATGATGAGGATGAGGATGAGGATGAGATGATGATGATGATGATGATGATGATGATGATGATGATGATGATTGATGATGATGATGATGATGATGATGATGATGATGATGATGATGATGATGATGATGATGATGATGATGATGATGATGATGATGATGATGATGATGATGATGATGATGATGATGATGATGATGATAATACGCAGGGTGACGTGCGATTTTTTGGTGGGAAGCATGCTTCGGGCTGACAGATACCACCATATCTCCACTGGGCTCTCTCCAAGAGGAGCGTGCTTGGAGCTCAACGCATGCCCCTACCGCTGCTTGCGCCGCCCATGGCTACGGCCTGGCCGCTGAGCGCGATGAGGCCGTCCTGGACTTGGGGTCCAGCGGCCCAGCCAGCCCCCCGTCCTGTTCGACGCCACCGTCTGTCAAGGCCTGCCTCGTGATTCCTCGACTCGCCGCGGGCCGCCGCGGCCGGGAAGGGGCCCTCAAAACGCCGCCGCCCAGGCGGTCGATCACCAGCGCTACCCGGGGGGCAGACGCCTTGGCGCATGGTGCCGCTTGCGCCGGAGACCGCCAGCCGGCACGGCCAGGGGGCTCTGCCCTCAAAGCGGACGAGGACGCCGCGGCGGACGGCGGAGGCCCTGGCGGGGCAGTCGACGGCCCCGTGGAGCCGGGAGCCCAGCGTGGCCCTCCACCGGGCCATGGCTCGACAGCTGCGAAGGGCCCTGGGCGGACCATGCCGGCCATGCCGCTGAGTTGCGCGCCGACGAGGCGGCGTAAGTGCTTCGACTACACGTAAGAGTTACCTCTCGCAGGAGTGACCTTTGTGCGGGCCCATTGGGGCCCTCCGATCGCCGAACACGATGCGGTAGTAGCGTCTTGCGCGCTTGTGTTTGGTTCCCCCGCGGCCTCCCAAAAGCCGCGCACCCAAGGTCACTCTTACCCAGGGTTACTCTAGCGTGTAGTCGAGTGCTGGTGGTCGCGGTCGCGAGCATCATCGCCATCTCAGTCGGTGTTGGTGTGGCGTGTGCCCCAGCGACCTCGTTGACGCCCGTAGGAGGAGGAGAAGGAGGAGGAGGAGGAAGAGGAGGAGGAGAAGGAGGAGGAGAGGTGGGAGGAGGGGGAGGAAGGGGAGGAGGAGGAGGAGGAGGGAAGGATAGAGAGAGAAAGAGAGAGAGAGCGAGAGAGAAAGAGAGAGAGAGAGAGAGGACGAAGAGGATGACGAGGAAGAGGAGGGGATGAGGAGGAGGACCATTGCAGGCCATTTTCCCACCTGTCAGCGCCATGCGCTCATGATCGACAATGTGAATCACCCCTTCATCCCTTCATGCGGACGTGGGCTGTCTTGGACGATAATGTTGTCTCAAGGGCTAGTGCGCATAATCTGAATTTTGAAGATTGATATGCTTTGCGGCATGGATTCGGCTTCTACGTGAGCTCTGAGAGTGGTGATGGGGGACGTTTTACGGGTCTTGGACATTGTCTGAGGCCATCTTGATCCGTCTTGGGCCATTTTCCCTAAACAGTGCTTGCACTTAGGGGCTCTTATCTCTTACTAAGAAGCTGGGCCTGTCTGCCGCTCTGGCGGCTATGTGGCCGCCGTCGCCGCCCCGTCGCCGTCTCGTCGCCGCCCGCCGTCTGGTTCTGTCTGCTGCTCCGGCGGCTATGTGGCCACCGTCACCGCCGCGTTGCCGCCGAATCGCCGCCCTAGATTCCACCGCGTCTGTTGGACCACTTAGATTGCACTAGATAGCTTGCACAACATATCTTGTCCTAACAGAGTATGAGGATCTACTCCCCCCGGAATTACGGTTCACCTCTTCGCATTTCAATTAACATATGATTTTGCCCCATCGTCCATCTTGAATATGAATTTAGACCATCCCAGGCAGGCCAGGACCCGCCCCCCATCAGCCCCCGCAAAAAATACTATGCGCGTGCATTCGTTGATCAAGCGTTCTCAATTCTCAACAGTCCCTGTCAAAACATGGGATTAAGTGCGCACGCGCGCGTCGTCGCGCGCGCATGCCGGAATCCTTCAAAAAACCATAGGTTTCGCAAGGGTTTCAAAGTCGAGTGTCTCGAAAACACATAGCAGCACATGGTTTCGCAACACGATTGTTCAAAACAAGCTCGCGCTCGGGCTCTTGCGAATTCTTAAGAAACTCTCTGGGCTTTTCCAACATTGTCATAACTTGCTACCAAACGGGCCTGTCATGCGGGCCTGTCATGCGCGCATGGCGAAGTGCACGCGCGTGCGTCGTCGCGCGCGCATGCCGAAATCCTTCAAGCACCCTGGGTTTCGTAAGGATTTCAACATCGAGTGTCCTGGCGACATGTAAAACATATAGTTTTGCAACATAAGTTTTTAAACATGCCTGCGTTCGCGTTCCTTCGAGCTCCAACAACGAATCCGCAGGTTTTTTTTTAACATGTCATTCACTTCGGCCAAACGGGCCCTTCGGGCCGCACGTCGAAATCATTCGAACGCCCTTGCGCGCTTGCCGGGGGGGGGGCACGATCCTTGTCAAATACTTCCATGTGGGCCACTCCCGCGCGTCGGCCGCGCGCGCATGTCGAACTCCCTCCAAAACCTTCATCGCCGACGCATGGGCGCCGTCATCGTCGTCGGCGTGATCAGCATCGGCGTCGTCACTGGCCTTGCCGTCGTCGCTGTCATCCGCGTCCCCAGCATCGCTACCAGCATCATCGCGTCTGCCGTTGTCGACGAAGTCGCCGACTCGCAGTGAAGTCCGCTGGGAAGTGCCCAGCGGTCAGCGCCACCGCGGCCGCGTCGAAGCGCCAAACAATCTGACCGGTGCGCGCGCGAGCACGCGCGGGCTAGTGCGGCCGCAGAGATGCACCAGCCAATTCCAAGCACTCAGCGCAATCGCCGCCGAATGGGTTTTGTAGACCAAGTTGCGGGTGGGTGGGATGATTGCGCGAGCAGTGGTGTGGACAGTTCGTTGCGAGCATAAATTGATTGCACCGCATAGGTTGCACCACATGGATTGCACAACGTAGGCTGCACCACGGAGTGCGCACGGTAATCCGTAAGGGCTTCGCCCCCTGCCGCCGGCCCCCTCTCTCGGAGAATGGGCCATGGAAGAGCTAAGTCATGAGGCCTTGGCGCTGTCGTGAAGCAGTATCGAAACTTCATGCGAAGCCGAGTCGCAATCAGCAAAACCAACTGATCACAAGAGGGGTTACCACACCTGGCGATTGGTAAGACGTGTATGGTTTAAGGGCTTGGTTACCACACCTTGCGATGAAAGGGCCGAGGGAGTTCTCGCAGTTTGGGTTACCACGCCTTGCGATGGATGTGCGTGATGGGTTCGAATTTCAGAAATGTGGCAAATCCCCTGTGTTTTTGGACCCTGACCCCGCGGATCTGCGTGAGGGGTGGCACCGAATTTCAGAAATGTGGCAAATCCCATGTGTTTTTGGACCCTGACCCCGCGGATCTGCGTGAGGGGTGGCACCGAATTTCAGAAATGTGGCAAATCCCTGTGTTTTTGGACCCTGACCCCGCGGATCTGCGTGAGGGGTGGCACCGAATTTCAGAAATGTGGCAAATCCCATGTGTTTTTGGACCCTGACCCCGCGGATCTGCGTGAGGGGTGGCACCGAATTTCAGAAATGTGGCAAATCCCATGTGTTTTTGGACCCTGACCCCGCGGATCTGCGTGAGGGGTGGCACCGAATTTCAGAAATGTGGCAAATCCCTTCTGTTTTTGGACCCTGACCCCGCGGATCTGCGTGAGGGGTGGCACCGAATTTCAGAAATGTGGCAAATCCCTGTGTTTTTGGACCCTGACCCCGCGAATCTGCGTGAGGGGTGGCACCGAATTCCAGAAATGTCGCAAATCCCATGTGTTTTTGGACCCTGACCCCGCGGATCTGCGTGAGGGGTGGCACCGAATTCCAGAAATGTCGCAAATCCCATGTGTTTTTGGACCCTGACCCCGCGGATCTGCGTGAGGGGTGTCGATTTCGAGCCCCCCCAGTAATTCAGACAACGCGCCCAGGGGACGCTGGAAAATCCTGTTTGGGCCTCCCCCCCCTCGCGCGGTCAATCAACTAGTTACAGTAACCAGCAAGAAGTCAACTAGTTACAGCAACCAGCAAGAAGCAGAACTGTAACACTGGAAACTAGAAACTACAACTGGTACAGGAAACTGCGAATCACGCGCCTCGCAGTCTGGTGGCCCCACAAGGGGGCCGGCGGATTTACACCATGTAGGTGGCAGCACAGTGTTCGCACCACATATAGTATACAGCATATTTGGCACCACGTATCATTCACCACCCAGATTGCACAACGTAGTTCGCAAACATAGATTGCACCGCGTAGGATGCACCACATGGGTTGCGCAACGTAGACTGCACCACCTATAGTTCGCAGCACATGTTGCACCACGTAGCCGGCACCACAAACATTGCACCACATAGATTGCACAACAAGG